ACCGACCTCCAACTCGTCAGCTGGAAGCAGCACACCCCGCCCTATTCGGAGAAGCCCCAGGCAGTGATTGACTTGCTCAAGTCGGTCTTCCAAACTCTTCAGCCTACCTGGGATGACTGTCACCGACTCTTCCTGACTCTCTTCAATGCCAAAGAATGACGCCAAATTCTGCCAGAAGCGCGGGGGTGGCTCCAAGGACAAGCACCGGATGGTGCACTAGACCCCACAGCATGGGCCTTGGGGGCGGCGCCAGATGCCAGGCCTGATTGGGACTTCGACATCCCAAATGGAAGAGAGTCTCTCAATAGGTACTGGCAGGCCATACTGCAGGGGGTGAAAGCTGGGTCCAGAAAGCCGACAAACATGTCCAAAATGACAGAAGTACTCCAGAAGCCATATGAGTCAGCCACAGAGTTCTACGAGAGACCGTGCAAGGCATTCCGGGTGTTTACCCCTTTGGACCCCGAAGCACGAGAAAACCAATGCATTGGTCAAGGCGGCATGCGTGGCTCAATCTTACACTGACATCGGCCGCAAGCTTCAGAAATCGGAGGGCTTTGCGGGGAAGAACAACAGCCAGCTACTGGAGGTCGCCAACAAGGTGTTTGTGAACCGTGACCGGAAGGCCCAAAAGATAGCTGATAAGCAGACGAAACCAAAGATGTCCTCGCTGGCAGCCGTGTTAGGAAGCCTGGGCCCGGTATAACAGACGGCTCCCCCACGGAAGGGAGAGACCAAGAGGAGGGCCAGTGGGAGCTTCCAGATCAGAGACTTTTTGCTGCAGTGGCAGCTCAGCTGGTAACACGACACCACGAATTGTCTCACCTGGGGAAGACTGCTTTCGAAAGCCTGTTAGGCTGCTACTATTTCATACCCAAACTCCCAACCCTATGCGCCCAGATCAGTGCCAGATCAGTAACTTGCACATGAAACAATGCTGGCCAAAGGCCAAAATCCAGCCCAGGGGTGCAAACAATTGGAACTACGCCCTTCGAATGGACTTTACTGAGGTCAAGCCCTGCCGAGGCCACTGATACTTGTTCGTGTTAGTTTGCACCTACTCCGGATGGGCTGAGGCCTTCCCTGTATGCACTGAACGGGCATGAGAAGTAGCTAGAGCCTTGTCGAGGGAGATTGTTCCAAGATATGGGCTGCCTCTCCCTGTAGGATCTGACAATGGACCTGCCTTTGTGTCTGAGACAGTCCAGACTCTGTGCAGAGCTCTCGGAATCAAATGGAAGCCCCATGCGGCCTACAGGCCACACAGTTCAGGGAAAGTTGAGCGCATGAACCAGACCTTCATGACTACTCTAGCTAAGCTTTGTCAGGAAGCCTGGTTACCTTGGATTGACTTGCTATCTTTGGCTCTACTCCAAGCATGGTGACCCCAAGGCTTTCAGGCTACTCCCCTTTTGAAATCCTTTACAGGAGACCTTCCCCAGTGATAGGAAAGCTAAAAGGAGACCCTCGACTGATAGCTGACCTAGAACTGTCCTGACATCTTCAGATCCTAGGGAGTATCCTCCACCACATCACCCAAGAAACCTTAGAAAGATCCTTTATCCCCTTAGGGAATGGAGTCCACCTCTATCAGCCAGGAGATGAAGTATGGGTTAAAGACTGGAAGAAGGAGCCACTCCAGCTGATCTGGACTGGCCCTCGCACTGTTACGTTAGCAACACCCACTGCTGTTACGGTTGTAAGTGTCACCCCCGTGGATCCACCACACCCGAGTAAAGAGAGACGTCTCCAGAAGAACGTGGACTGCAGAGTCTCTTCCTGATCAGCCGCTCCGAGTCACATTCCAGAGGCAGCAGAAAACCACCTGAGATCTTCGGCCCTGCTCTGGCCACCCCCAGAAGCTGGCCAGTCTACGCACAGCGGAAGCCTGAGGACTCCGACACCCCACGAAGATGGCCAACATACCCCTGAGGACTCTATTAATGCTTCTCATAAGCTCACCCTTGAGGGCAGCCACTGAGACTCAATGTGATAAATGTATAGGGCCCATTCGAATTAGGTGGTCGGGTCCAGCAGGCTTTTACCTCATATACCCACCAACCAGCCGCTTGTTACAAATCAGCTACCATTTGCACTTACGCTGGCAGAAGGTACTAGATGGGATGGATAAAAACCATATATGTAGTGGGATACATTTGCCAAGGGCTGTGCCCAGGGGCAACAAGGAGATGGACATACTATGGGCAGATAGATATCTCAGATGGATGGGGAGTCCCAGACTACGCCTGAGACCAGCTAGTCAAAGAGACTACAGTGAGTACTAGAACAGACAAAACTTGAACCACCTCCAGGGCCCAGTCCAATTTATGACCCCCATATAGATGCTCAATTGATCATCAGGTTACAGGCTGTACTAAAGATCATAACTAACCAGACGGCCTCGGCCCTCGAACTCCTGGCCACGCAACAGTCCCAGATGCGTGCGGCAATATATCAGAACCGTTTAGCCTTAGATTACTTGCTAGCAAAAGAAGGGGGAGTATGCAGGAAATTTAACCGATCCAATTGTTGTCTCTAAATAGGTGACAATGGCAAAGCTGTGACTGCCATAGCTACTAATATTAGGAAAATAGCTCATGTGCCCATCCAAAGTTGGAAAGGATGGAACCCTAGTGATCTCTTTGGGGGTTGGTTCTCTGCTTTTGGTGGCTTTAAGACCTCAGTTGGGATAGTACCCCTTCTCCTCTGGGCCCGCCTCCTCCTCCCATGTCTGTTGCCTTTTGTTATCTGGTCAACTATCTCCCTCATAGGGGCTGTAGGAGAAAGAAAAACTGCAGCAAAAGTCCTCATGCTGTGGAGGTACCCGCCCCTGGCCCAGGACGATCAAAAGGTTGATGCCCTATAAGAATTTAAAGGGCATCAAAAGGGGGGAATGAAGAGGAATTTTCCACTCAAAAGGCTAACCTTATAATCAGCTCTCTGTTCTGCTTCTGTAGACATGCTTGTCGCATAGGCTGAAGGGCGGGATGACCTCAAAATTAACTAAAGACTCATCTTCCCTTTTCGCTTACTCTCTCTAGATAACAGATGTATTGCCTGAGTTCCTGTCTGAAAATCTCGCGTTCTGCTTGTAACCTACAGTAACCCCCATGCACCTGTAACCCACAGCAACTCCCGCTGTCTGTAACCACCTGAGGACACATTAACCAATCAGCCCATGCCAACTGTAACTGTGTGGATAAGCTCTATAAAAGCCAAGTTGCATCTGAGCTTGGGACCCAGATCTTTAGAGCGCTAGCTCTTCTAGGACCGCTGGCATAATAAACCTGAGTTCTCCACCTATCCGAGTGCTGCTTGGTTTCTCACTAGTCTGATTTTTCCGCAATACTCCTATTGTATTTTTCTTTACGGAAGTGATCACAACCTGGCACTATATACCTGTTTAGTAGTTGTGTCCCTATTTGACTTTGAGCCTCTCATGATCAGGATCCTGTCTGTCTTGTACTCTGCTATGACTCTACTTGCTTGATACATAGTAGATGCTCAGTGAATATTTGGGAAACAACTGCTTTCGTACTCTACCGCACGGAGGAAATTCAGCCATGAGATTTCCTACCTAAAAAAGTGTGTGCGTGTGTACGTGCGTTGAATTTTTTGGCCAGAGTATTTTAAAGTGCATCTCATATGTAATTTCACCCATAAATGCCTCAAGATGCTTCTCAGAAAAAAAAAAAACTTAAACAATAACAAAAAACCAAAAATCAATAACTCCTTTCTATCATCTAATGCTCACATTCAAATGTCACTGGTCTAAAAAATGTCCCTTTTCTGTGCCTGATCCTCTTCCTTGATCTTGCAAACTGCCCCCACTCTGCAGTCCCCTATTTGTTTTCCACTATATTTCTCCGCATAGCTTATTCACCACGCGCTCTACCATAAATTTTATTTATCATATTGTCTATACCTTCCCAACTCCATCAAAAAAACCATGAGCTGTTAGGTCAGGGAATTTTGTCTGTTTTCCTCAGTGTTTGCACAGAGCCGGCTCTCAATTTATTGAGCCTTCCAATTATATCGTCGCGCTTACAAATCTTCCCGGGAAGCAGGTACTATTCTTGTCGCCATTTTATAGACGGGAACCTGAAGCTCAGGAAGGTTAAAGGAACTGGCGGGATAATGGGGCTGACCGCGCGGGGCTGGGCTGTGGGAGCCTTGAATGCCCCACAATTGAATTGGGACTTTATCACGTAAGCGCCGGGGAGCCAGGAAAAGCTCGTGAGCAGGGCCAGCGCTCTCCCCGTGGGGTCAGTCGGCCTGCGCTCCCTCCCCTGTCACCCGCCTGGGAACGCGGTGGAAAGCGCCAAGCCCAGCCTCCCACTGGAAGCGCGCACGTCGCCCCTGGCAACGGAGTCCGGAAGAACCACCGAGACGCGGACCGAGAGATCAGAGCGGTCGCCGAGGCGCGGAGGGCTAGAAAGGTGCGCTGGGCCGATTGTCACGTGGGCGGTGGCGCGGAGGCGGGACTTCCGGCGGCGCCGTGTTTTTTTTCCGGTTGTTGGCTCCCGCCGGCCCCTCCCTGACTGGGCCCTGC